TTTTTTTTCCTTAGTATTTGCAGTTTTTGGGTCATTCTGTCTTTGGAGTTCAGAATGTCAGTTACTTTTAGAGGGTGTATTAAGCTTTTTTTTTTGTTTGTTTTTTGTTTTTTGTTTTTTCGAGACAGGGTTTCTCTGTGTAGCTTTGCGCCTTTCCTGGAACTCACTAGGTAGCCCAGGCTGGCCTCGAACTTACAGAGATCTGCCTGCCTCTGCCTCCCGAGTGCTGGGATTAAAGGTGTGTGCCACCACCGCCCGGCTGTTTTAAGCTTTATCCTTTCTTGATACCCCTGTTGCAGTCTTTTACCTAATGAAAATCTGAAGCCTTGACTTAGGATAGCTTGCCTTGCCAGGCCATACAACTTAAATGGCTTTTTCATTATACCTCTCAGTCTTTCTGCACTTTCATTCTATTTTCAGGGCAATATAGATTAAGTAAATGTCTATGCATAGTCTTCTGGTATGTTCAGTATTCAACCTGTATATAGAAATGGTTATTTTTGTCCGGGTAGTAGTGGTGCATACCTTTAATTGCAGCAGAGGCAGGCGGATCTTTGTGAGCTCCAGGACAGCCAGGGAAACCGAGAGAGAGAGAGAGAGAGAGAGAGAGAGAGAGAGAGAGAGGAGAGAGAGAGCGAGAAGAAAGAAGAAAGAAATGGCTATTTCTTTATTGCTACTGCTATGGTCTGAATGTTTGTGTTCCTCCAATGTTATGTTGAAATCCTACCTCCAAGGTGAGATCTATATCTATACATATAGTTTTTTCTTTAGGATGAGTAGAAGCTAATGAGGAGAAAGGTAGTCAGCTGTAGGAAAAAATAACTTTCATCAAGTGTGTACAGAGAACTTACTGTTTGACAATACGTTTAATTTTCTCTACAGGGTGCTAGTTAACACAACAAGCAGACAAAAACAGCACATGTTTTATGGGTATGAAATGTCCTTTGTGATGTTTATTCCAACACTTACTCTGTTTGTTCTGGGGATTGAATCCAGGGTTTTGTGCTTGCTAAGCATATTGTCTTATGAGCAAGCATAGGTTAAGCATACTTAATACTGGAAAAATTGGTTTCGTGTGTGTAGGTAAAGACTTTCGAAGGTTTTGTTTGTTTGGAGACAGGGTCTCATGTATCCCAGGCTGACCTTGTACTTGCTATATTGTCAAGGATAACCTTGACCATTTGATTCTCCTATGTCTACCTATTGAGTGCTGGGATTATAGGCTTGTACCAGTGTTCCCAGTTTATACAATGCCGCAGATCAAATGGAGAACATCATGTATGCCAAGCAAGCATTCTAACAACTGAGCTATATCCCCAGTTTAATCTGTGATAATCTTAAGTAAATTCACCCTGTATATTTGTTGTAAATTCCTGTTTGGTTTATTTCACTTTCTTTTGGGACATAATTGATACCATTAAAAAAAGTATTAAATGATTTTTTTTTGTTTTTGTTTTTGTTTTTGTTGTTTTTTAGAGACAGGGTTTCTCTGTGTAGCTTTGGTACCTGTCCTGGAACTCGCTCTGTAGACCAGGCTGGCCTGGAACTCACAGAGTTCCGCCTGCCTTTGCCTCCCGAGTGCTGGGATTAAAGGCCTGTGCCCACCCGGCTTTTGGTATTCTTATACTGTGCTGTTGTTTATGAGCCCCTACTGTGTGCTGTGGAATGTGCTAAACTCTTACTCCTGGTACATGCTCTTATCTCCATTTCTATATTAAGGTGATGAAATGGAATCCCAGAGAGGGGGTCTGTACAATAGGTAATTGTTTGAACTAGGATTTAAACCCAAACTAATTTTTGAATCTAATTTGGGATGTGGGAGTGTTACTGGAAATTGAACCCAGTATTTTGCTCATTCTAGGCAAGAACTGAGTCACACACCCTAGCCTGAAGTCTAAATCCTCCCATATTGTGATATTTGATTTTTAATATTTAGAGTCAGCTTGGAGTAATTAAAAATAATGATAATATTTTTTCCCTATTATTTTCTCTTTAGGTTTCTGTCAGGATGAATTGGCAGAACTTGATCCAGGCACTAGTAAGTTCTAAATGTTACCCAGTATTTGTTGGTAAGAAAAGGGTGTGACTGTGCACTTACAAGTATTTAACTCAAGGTATCTTTGATGTTCGTATTTGAATGGCCCTCAGATTGTATCTCCTCTTAACAGTTATAAGAATGATATTCTGTCTTGTGACATTTTCTTTTTCATTTGTTAGTACTGTTTGATGGCCAGAGCTATCCATTTAATAGAAAGTTGTTTGCTGCCGGGCGGTGGTGGCGCACGCCTTTAATCCCAGCACTCGGGAGGCAGAGGCAGGCGGATCTCTGTGAGTTCGAGGCCAGCCTGGGCTACCAAGTGAGATCCAGGAAAGGCGCAAAGCTACACAAGAGAAACCCTGTCTCGGAAAAACCAAAAAAAAAAAAAAAAAAAAAAAAAGAAAGTTGTTTGCTGAAAATTTTGTTTAAAATAGACCCCCTTGCTCACTTCTCCATCTTCCACTGAAACCAACAGCAAACAGTGTTGGATTTTTGTATATAAACAACTATATATTAAAAACTACCCACCTACCCTCCCTTCCCAATGTGGGTTGATCCTTCTGTACACTGTGAAGATTTGTCGCTGTAATTGGTTTAATAAGCTGTTTAGCCAATAGATAGGCAGGATAAGGTTAGGCAGAAAAACCAAACTAAGGAGGTAAGAAGAAGGGTGGAGTCAGAGGGTCACCAGCCAGATGCAGAGTAAAGGAGACGAGAATGTCATACTGAGAAAAGGTACCAAGGCATATGGCTAAACGTAGATAAGAATTATGGATTAATTTAACTGTAAGAGCTAGTTAGTAATAAGCCTGAGCTACCAGAAGAGCATTTATAATTAATATAAGCCTCTGAGTGATTATTTGGAAATGGCTGCAGGATGGGGCAGGACAAAAACTTCCACTCCTCCCT